GAATTGTTGACCACATTGAGGCAGGGCATCCAGTGGAGTTGGAGTCCACTGAGCGTTTCGGAGAGAAAAGCTGCCGCACGGCAGGCTTTAGCGTGGAATGAGCAGCGGTGCCATGGTTTTCTTTTCCTTTTCTTTTCCCTCTTTTCCCCCAAGATAGCATTCTTTGATGTTATCATTCCTGAGCACGGTGTGTGTGTGTCTCAGTCTTCCTCCAGGCGGTTGTTGCAAGGCATGCGTAACACTGTAGGCTGGGAAACGATTCACTGTAGCACTTATTTCCAATGCAGCAGGTTGTGGCAAGCCATTTGGTATTGGGGGAAATCTCGGGAACTCACACTACTCACACACCACTGCTAAAAGTCTAGTGTTCTTTAGTAATATTGCGTATGAAACCGCGATCACAGATTCGACACAGACCACTACAGAAGTCAATTTTTTCATTTATATCATTCTTGCAATAAATCTAGTACTAAGGCTAGATTTAGGAACTTGAAAAAAAGAAAAAGAGTTTAGTTGGTAGTGTACAGTGATAGTACAGTGGCGAACTGTGACTGTTATAGCTAGGCCTTCAGTTTAGGCCAATAGATTTAAAACTCGAAATGCCAAAAAAAAAAAGAGAAAAGAAAACGATACAATATTGTTCATTTCTGCTAGTGCCCCTATGGGATTTTTAATAGCATGTTAGCACTACATGCTGGTGGACATGAACATGTTTTGGCTGTTTTAGATTAAACATTGACATTTGAAGCTTGCAAATTTATTACACCTTGTAACAGATGTTAAGTTATACTTTACCTTGTATGCAGCAGCTTTACAGAGACTCTTTGTAGCAGAGCCCTGGCGTAGAGCTGCCACTGTTTTCCATTTCTAACAAATGACTGAAACCCGCTTGTGTTTTCAGTCACTGATGAATCTAGGACTTCCAGATGGCTAACAAATTAGTTCCCACAAATCATTAGGCCTTCTATGAAGGCCTAGCATGCCCTGTGGGTTCTCCACTGGCCTAGTATATTGAGGGTTAAATGCTACACAGCAATACAGGTAACAGTCACTCTTACTTGTTATGCACACTAATAGTTTTGTGTAGAATGATGAATGTTCATGTACCTAGAAATAATATTTGAGTGCTTGCAGTGTTCTCTGGTTGACATTAAACTTTAATGGCTGTTACTGGCTCTCAGAGAAGCAATTCTGCTCACTTACAGACACAAGCATTTACATTAGACAAATGTTCACCTACTGAAAGGAAAGGCTGTTAAAATTTAACAGTGTAAATGGTCTGGCATACCCACTTTTTAACAAGCCACATATTTTAAACAGGATTTTGTATAAAATGTATTTTTATTCAGATGTTTTTGTGTGCCTGTTGTATAATCCTCAGAACCATGTGAAAGTGTTTAAAATGTAAGAAATGAAAAACAGCAGACAATTGTGTGAATAATGTTTATTTTTTTTAACAAGATGCCTGTTTTTGAGGCCCAGACATACATATTTGACCATTTTAACCACTGATGATTTTAGCTTGTGTCTTATGTTACACATGCTTGCAGATTTGCAGATAGACGCACTCCCAGAGAGGCAGGTGTGATCAGGACTGAACCTGCAGAGTCCTTTCACAGGAGCACCAAAGGCTGCCAATCACATTAAGAGCCAACACAAGTTAAGCTAGTTAAACGACAGCAGCACATTTTCTCACAAGATAATTAGCTTTTATCTCCCACATGTTATTTCCCCTTTGATCAGTGAGCATGGTTTCCTCCAGTTAAACGGCAGGTCCCATTATCAGTCAGTGGGGGTGTAGAGCTGTGAAAGGGCAAATGTGTTACTTTATCACCACTGACCATTTATTGACCAGTGCTTTCTGGGTGTTTGTGTGTGACTTCTTCAATGACGAGATGTGCCACCTCAGGAAAGCTCCCACTTAAATGTGCACTTAAGACATTTGGAACTTTGGTGGGTAAGTGGATCTCGGAATGATTACCCCAAATTTACAGCTGTGACAGAAATAGCATGTGAGAATTTTCCTTTTCAGATGTCATCTGATAGGATTCATTCTACCAAAGGATGTCACTCACAAGCACTAATGTGGTGGGATCTGTAGCTTGGCTTAGCCAGACGGACACATGCACTTTGTAGAGGTCGCCACCATTCAATATGTGCACGTCTGGTCAAGAATGGCAGTTGTATTGATTTGTATTGCATTATCTTGAGAGGAAGTCAATCTGGGGAAGGTTCTCCAATGATAGGTGGGTGGCAAGAGTGGGAAGGGGGGACAGGGTGCATTCCTGCTCGGAGCTCAGATTTCAACTACGATGGGGTGGCTGCCTCCGGCGCTCCTTCTGCTGATCTCCTGCTTCTCTGGGAACATACCTTCAACACTGGCCTCACACGGTGTGTGTGGTAGTGGCGGAGAGGGGGGATAGGGGGCTGGGGTCAGCTGGCCCCGCCCTGGCCCACGTCTTAACACAGCACCCAGAAGTGATTCGGAGTGTCAGTTCCAAGCAACTTCAAAGTGGAGCCTCAGCCTTGTGAAAGACAATGCTGAGATTTCCCCTTTTGTGCCAGTGGGGGGAGAGGGGTGAGAGAGGCTGGGATCTGAAAGGGGAAGGGGTGGAGGGAATGTCCTGAGCCATAGAAAAAGGGGGCCTCTCTACCTATAGAGCTCTAGTTTCAAATGCTGTTTGTCCTGAGCTCCATTCCACAGCCAGTGATGGGGAAGAGAGCTGAAGGAACTCACTCTTCACATGCAGCTTTGCCTTTGCAAAGTTCCGAGAGGTGTTAAAAGTGTAAAACTTGTGAAAGTCTTTTTCTTTTTTCTGCTCCAAGGCCATTCCATTTTAATGACTGATCTGTTTTTTTGAATCGCTCTAATCTTGTATAGAACTGGCAATGTTCGGCTCAGGGGACAGGTTTATTGTGAGTTAAAGAATTCTTTTCAGTTAAGGTAAACATTCAGGCAGGGACAAATGAAAGAGTAATGTCTTGGAGGCTGTGGGTTCATTTTATCAATGCGGATCTGTGGAAGACCATCATAGGAATAAGGTCACCCTGAAAAGTCAGTTGGGAAAGGTTATTGTGTTTGGTGATGCGTAGGCGTCCTGTGACATCCTTGCCATTTAGGGTCAATAAGTGGTGTCCTGCAGTTCAAGGAGTGGCACATGATGCTGCTGGGAGAAAGCACAGTGCAGGTATTAGATCACTCACAAGTCTTCATAGGCAGTTAGCCTTGCATATAATCCACAGCTTTAGCCAACACAAAGGCAGAGACACAGTCTGCCTGGCCTGTCAGTAAGGAAAATAGTGCATGCAAAGGCCTGTAGGGATGGATACCAAAGAGAGGCAGGATAAGTCTGAATAGAATGGGTTGCCAGGTGAAAGTTGTCCTTAAGCCTCTGAATGCAACATATTTCTTGTGTTGACTTTTGTTTTTGGGAAGGTTTACTCCCTTCTCTTGCAATATGGCTTGCGATAACAAAGATAATTGAATGTCAAGCAGCATTTTTTGTATAGCGTACTGTGCAAAGGTCAGAGAGTACCCTTTAATTTATTTCATTTCATTTTCAGTCAAAACGACCATTATGTACAAGTTATTCATTTGTTAAAATGGGACTTCAAACTACTGTGTGAGACCTGGTAGACCACCAAAACTTTCCCCATCTATTAAACAGTACTTGAAGTTTTCATCTTTGAGAAATAGGAGGAAAAATCCGGCTCTACTCTTGAGTCAGATCTTTAGACCACAGGTCACTCTAAGAGGACAACTTGATGCTATGGGTCTGAAAGAATGTGTAGCTGCCATTACTGAGATAAAGAAAACAAAACAGCCACATAGTCCAGTCCAGACCTTAACGTCAGTAGATGTATTTAAGATTATTTGCAATGTGAGAAGCAGAAATTGCAACCAACTTCTGAATGCAAGTCTTACAAAAAGAATGAAAGCTGTAATTAAGGAAAAGCGTGGACATACTAAATACTGTAAAATGTACTTTTCTGTTTAATATATGCTTAACCCCTTAACATCCCAGTCTTATTACATGCTATGGCTTATTATTCAATAACTACAGCGACTTCAGTGCAAACTGGTTGAGCTATTCTTAGATTATAGAAGCGTGTAATCAAACTTTGGTCCCAATGGCGGGCCCGGGCCATGTGGGGGGGTTAACTTGTACTTGGGCTAATGGACTTGAAATTAAATAAGTGACTTTTGCACAGTACTGTACATATTGCTCTTCTTTTAGCCGTTTGTTGGAGGTATTTGTAAATAAATGCAAGTAATTAGACGGGTGTCTGAACTACACTTTCTTTATGCTGCTATCAGTTTCTTATTGGCTGGTGGTTCTCAGAGTGTATCCGCCTGCTCCCCTGCGTTGCGGAATGTGTGCATCGTCTTCCCAGTTTCTCTTTATCGCTACATACTCTCTTCTCCCAGGTCCATCCGGTGTTGACATTTACTGTGTTACAGCCTGCTAGCATTCCAGCAGGAGCTGGCACAAAAAAACACCAGCTGTTCCCAACAATCCAGCATAGTGTGTGTGTGTGTATGTGTGTGTGTGTGTTCTCTACGCAGTGGCTGGTTTGGGTTGCAAACACAGGGGACTCTCAGGGCTTTTTTTTCCCGTCTGGTTCTTGGAGGAGCAGAAGACTCCTCAGCTGTCAGGCTTGGGTCTTAGAGGCACTTCCTGTGGGGTGGCAGTGCTTAGCGGGTGTGATGTAATGCTAGGAGGGCACAATCTGAGCTTTGTTCGCCCCCTCTCTCGCCCGCTGTGAAGGCACTGCTGTGTTTCGGCCCCGTCCACCTTCTACCCCTTTGCCCGCGCTGGTGCCCCATAGAAGGCCATTGAGGCTTTTGTGAGCGAGGGTCCTGAGGGTGGCTGGTATCGATTTGTGCAGTTTCGTCGCCAACGAGTGACAGAATGTTCTGTGGTGTAGGTAGTTATACTGAAGTGCAACAACGATGAAGGTCTTATTTAACTGTGGTTCTTGTTTTCTCTTTCTTACAGCCACAGCAAGTGGTCCAACAAAAGCCTGCTCAGGTAAGTAACCTGATGTTTTACTCTCTTTCACCAACACTTTCACTTTCAACTTGAGTATCCATACACATTCACACTAGCCCATAACTTTCACATTATGTTAGCCCTTCATCTGTTAAAGTGCAAAACAAACCATGCAAACTGGTCACAGTGGTCTCAGACCACAACTGAAGATCATGCTGAAGACTGTACAGGCCTGTGTGGGCTTGGCTCACTCATCGAAGGCAGTCCATATTTCAAAACGTTTGCTATGATGCAGAATCCAGGTGTACACAGTCTATCAGGGAAGGATGTGGGGGCCCAGTGTGTGTGTCAGGGTGGATGCATAGGAGAGGCACCCCGGTTTGGATTTTTAAGGTCGCAAAGATCCCAGCCTTTGAGGAGACAGCATAACTCTTGCCTGACGAGGGACCTGCATGGTGGATCTTTAAGGCTAGTGTAAATCTGCTACTACTGTGTGTGGAATCCCTGCTTTCTACCATCTCGTCCTCTTTACGTGCCCTCACAGATGGATAAGCAATCTGTCCTGAAGGATTAGTTCAGACGAGATGACTCTTGACAAAATTCCTTCCATGCTTTAACAAAAGGTCTGGATCTGTATGTACAGTGCACAGATTAGCTTGAATCAAGTTGTTGAAGCAAGGAAACATATTTGTTGATAGGCAAATGTGTTGGAACAGACTTGAAACAGTTAACAGGGAGCAACAATGAAAAATGTAAAAGAACAATATTTGAAGGGTTTCATTCCAAAACGCATTATAGACTACTTTCAAGAACATATGTTGCTTGGGGTGGGAAAATATCAATGTTATATTATGATTAATACTACCTTAGATGGGGAAATAAATACATTTTCCATCATACATCAGATGTTATTCTCCAAAACTTGTTATATTCAAATGAAATGAAGCTCTTCATTTTTCAGGGAACATAATCGAAAATTAATGATCAAATTAGGGCTGAACAGCATTTTACAGCCTTTGATACTATGAAATGAGTGCAGTACAGTTGATTTACATTTTACAATTAACCATAATTTGAAGCTTTAATCGAAGTATTCCATTTCAGATTTGCAAAAAAACGTTTTATACATTATACATTGTTTTTTATAATGGACGCCCTAAAGATGCAGAGAGCCTGATGTACCCTAATGTTATGTCTGATAAGGAGACAGATGAGTCTGACTAGATTTCTGCTTAGCTATATAGCAGTGAATGCAGAAATTCAAGATGTAAATCTTTTAAAATCTTTATCATCGATGTGTTTGTGTAGTTTTGCTAGTTTACTGAATGGAGCCAAGTTCATATTCCATTGCTAACTTAGTGTTCCAAATACAGTTCCATCTTGAGTAAAATACCTTTGATAAACAAATACACATCTTGTTCAGGAATGTCAATTCAGCAAATTATTTCAGTGTCCTGTACTAAATTTGTGTAGATTTATGGCCATGCATATTTTAAAGGAATAAGTTAAGCTGATTAGCTAGACTGCTATCTCCTTTTCTCAGCTCTGCAGCTAATTGAGTGACTGAATACTTTTGGCCGTTTCTCTTTGTTTGCCATTTTAATGTCTTTCACTAACTTACCGTACTTCAATCTTTCAAAAGGGGCATTGGGGTGACATAAGTGTAGGTGGTATGTAGCTGTATTTAGCTAACATTACCTGGGTATGACATAACATTTCATAGCCTAATATTACATGCGTCATCAAGCAATTGCCATTTTCTTGTTTTATGATAAAATGTTTCATTTAAACGGTGATAAATAAGCCTCAAACTCTGTAAATTGTCAGGAAACCACAAGAGTGTTGTAGAATTCTTGTTGAGTCTAAAATGTTAACAAAAGACAAAGCTTTCAAATACTATTTCGAAGAAAATAAATACAAACATAATAACTGAATCCTCAAATATTGGAATTATTTGAGCCAGACCTAAATCAACCAAAAATGCTTTCAACTTCCAGAGAGAGTTTTTTTTTAAATGTTGTTAACCTGATAATAGCTGATTTATAATTGCTATTCTGTTCCAATTAAACATGTGTAAATACAACAGTGACTGGTTTGTTCTTTTTTTTTTTTTTTTTAATTTAATGTTAATAAGGCTGTATCATAAGAATGTTGTTAGCTGTTTTTCTGTTTTGTTCTGTTTACAAACCAGGCATGGAAGACTTGGGCAAGAAGAGAAAAATTCTGATTCTTTTCAGAATTTACCAAAATGAAAAATTATTTATTTCTAATTCCTGATTCTAAGAAAATGAATGGCAAGAAAAATAATATTATTAATAGGTTAATCATGATTTAAAACAGCTGGCTGAGAGAATACTGGATGATTTAAAAAAAAAAAATTATATTGGTGGACATTGGCCTAAAAGGGAGTGGAACTAAAGTAGCTTTGAGTTCAGCTGGAGGATATCAAAAAATTCCAGCACAGATCGCACAAAGCCAGGCCATCTAGTGTGGAAAGGCACCTATGGAAAGTAATGAATAGGTAAGAAGTTCTCTCCCCCTCTTTCCCTCTGTTCGCTGGTGCGGACCAATTTGCGGTGGGAATGCATAACTGTGGCCTGATTTGTTGCTGTGTGGGAACGCACGGGAGCTTCAGCCTGTAAAATGTTGCTGACGCTCTCTCGGCGCACACACACTCTGCAGGAATCTATAGGTGAACAGGGAGTTTAGCTCTGACCCAGAGGCCACCATTTGACCTTTCTTCCTATCCAGGACAACATCCTAATGGACTTTAGAAACATGCCTGGTCATAAGCTTTCCCTTATCCTCCCCAGCCTACATGGGAGAGGGTCCCAGAGTGAAGACAGAGCTGTCCAGCAAGAACCTGTTCCAGAGGTTTTTAACTAGCACTGTGTTTTAATTAGTCTTGAGTTATTATTGCCGTTTTGATATACCTTTGATTTATGTTGCATAGATATTACTACATGATTACATAGTTAATTACACAGCTGTGCTATGATTTATACTGACAGGATTAATTTCTGTTTCAACAGGTTCAAGTCTGCACGTATGTCTTTTTTCCATTTGTTTAATGTCAAAAGTGATAAAATATATCAATGTCTTGCACAACAATAATTTTTCACTGAATTCAAATCATAATTGACTATCTTCTACTAATATGTGAGAAATCATTACAAGCTTCATTCATCATTACTATCGTTGCTGTAGCAAGTATCTCAATTATTCTGCACTATTAGAGTTCAACAGCTTTCCTTTACATTGTGTGTGAAAAATAGAACTTTTTATATGTCATTATTAAAACACAATACCATAATATCATAAACGGGAATATTATACATATTCAGTAGATTCAGTTTTGTTGCCTTTATTGTGTCACCAAAATTCTTGGACTGATCCATGTTTTAAATATTTACCGAAAATCCTGAATAATGATAAATATGATGATAATTAGAACAAACAAAGATTAATAATAACTTTTATTGCTTAAGTCAACAAATGATCACAGTACAGTAAAGAAGTGTTGAAAATGCTTCCAGGGCAGGTCAGTGCTTCTTTCTTTTTGTCATTACTGATTAAAACAAAACAAAACAACAGTCTGTTTTTGCTTCAATTAAAATTTTTCTCATTGACATCAACATAATAATTGATCTACCAGCTCTTTTGCAACTCAGCTATATGCTTCTTCAACCACCATCCTGCAAGCCCCACAATTATCTTGTGTTTTGGGGTGGGTGATATGCACCCCCCACCAACACCCCAAAGAGTGCTGGTGTTTAATGCTTGCTTGCTGCAATTTGGTTACAGTTACAGATATAGTCTCTTTCCTTAGTGGTGCCACATCTTGGAGTCTGAAGTGTTGGGGTGTTTGGGGGGGGCACAATTTGAGAGTTTTCCTGTTATTTTTGCCTTTTCTATCTCCTCGGTGTTGAGTTGGTTCTTCACAGCTACAAGAAGTATCTGTTGCACTATTGAACAGAGCTTGGCTCATATAATGCAGACCGTCTTTTGCCGCGGCCCTTCCTATGAATGGAAGCTGTGCGGTGACTTGGGAAAGGAAGAAGGTTATAAATTGTGTCAGTTAGCCTCCCTAAATAAAATGAAGCCATGTGGAAAATGAAATCCATTTCATTCTGAAAAGTGCCCAGAGCCGTGTGTCGCCTTTCTTTCTCCTCCCGCTCTCGCTCTCTCCTCCATTTCTCACTCTTTCACTCTCAATGGTGGTCATCTCAGCAGCAGCTGGGGAATGTTGAATATATGAGGGAAAAAAATGCAGGGGAAAAAAAAGCAAGGAAACCAAAACAGTGAAGATCTGTATGGCTCTGAGCAGACAAAAGCCTGGTAGGCTCCTTCTTCAGTCTAAAGGAATTTTGCATGGCCTGAATCAGTTCTAAGCAAACTGAAATTCACAGACCAGGCATGTATACTAGTTTGAACACCTTTGGTTAAATTACATGCTGTTTTGATTTTCTAAGTTGTCACATCCTCTATAGAGAAAGAACTTAAATATAGCATATTTCTGCAACTTTTACTGAACAGTTTCTCTTTATTTCCTGAGTTTAATATATTAGAAAAAAATAAAACATAAAGTATAGAATGTGCTATACCTTTCGCACAGGCCACATTTTATATTTTGATTATTTTATGTTTTACGTATTTTCATGTAGAAAATCAACAACACGTCATATGACCAGGGCCACCCAATCCTTTGCATACAACTGCATGTCCAAAAGTTTATAGACATCTGCTGTCCAATGTTTCTTCTGAAATCAGGACTATGAATAGGGAGTTTGTCCCCCTTTGCTGAAGTAACAGCTTCTACTCTTCTGGAAAGGCTTTACACTAGATGTTGGAACACTGCTGTGAGGATTTGATTGAGCATTAGTAAGGTCAGCTACTGATGTTGGACAGTTCATTCTTGATGATAAAAGCCACTCCAACGTATCCCAAAGATATTGGATGGAGCTCCATCGCTGCGGAGAACACAGTTCCACTGTTCCACAGCCCAATACTGGGTGGCTTTATTCTACTCTAGCCGACACTTGACATTGGTTATGGTGACCTTAGGCTCGTGTGTAGCTGCTCCACAGCGTCCCATTCTGGGTGCACTCTAGAGTAGCTGATTTCACTCATTAGACAAGGTGTCTGGATATTTTTGGATGCATCATGTATCATATCTTAGTTACTGTTTTCATCTGTCCAGCAGCAGTGGTCACTTACCCTGTTCCTGGAGATCTGCCTTCCTGTGAAGTCTAGTTCCACATCTACCACACCTGCTTCAGCTAATGAACGTCTTGACCGGCTGGATCAGATGCATTAGGTCTAGATAAAGGAGAGAGGCAGCATGTTAGATGCAGGTTGGAAGTAAACTCTGCAGGAAAGTCGATCTCCAGGACAAGAGCTATTGACCGCTGTTCTAGAGCCTAGGCTGGGAATGCCCCAGAGAGTGCTGTTGTGGTGTATTTGAGATAGCGGTGACTGACAGGAGGCCGTTTTTTGTGTCTTGTAGGAAGAGGAGGAGGCGGGGTCGCCAGAGGAGGACTAAACAACCACAGCATTTTACCTCTACCTCATCCAGCTGTCAGCTCTTTCCAAGGGAAAAGACTGCCTTGACCACTTATTGTTGACTTTCCACTCTCGTTTAAGTCGATCATTTTCATTCGTTTATTTTGTTGTTTGTTGTTTTTGTTTGTTTTTTGTTGTTGTTTTCTTCTCATTTGTTTGTTTGGTTTGGCTTTGTTTTTGTGATCAGCACACACAACACCTCAGAGCACGAACCCGGGAGGAATAACAAACAAACAAACCCGCAAAACATTGCGCAGATGACGATTGGAGCCACGTTGCTTTTGCCCACCTCCGCGTTCCAAACTGCTGTAGCACAGAGGTGGAGGGGTTGGCTGCATAGGATGTGCCGCTGTCACTCTTGACACACACACACACACACGGTCGCTGTCTGACTGATATTCCAGGCTACATTGGAGAAGGAAAAAGTAAAACTGTCTGGTTTTGTCATTCAAAAAGTCAGACCATGCAGCCGTTTCTATATTTGTGATGGAGCCTCAAACAGACACATCTGCTCCATCGCAAGTGCACACATGCATGCAGAAACCCCCTCACTTCAGTGTCGCACCACCAAAGACAGGAGAAATGGACCATTCTGCTTTTTTTGCTCTCAGGTCTTTCCCCTATAGCAGGAGGCGGGAACCTGTGATATCAGAATCATGTGGTTGTAACTTGAGTTCAGCTGATTAAGTTAATTGGCTAGAATATCATTGACTTGTCAGAGTTAGCTATGAAAAGATATAATAATAGTTTAAACAGTCATATTCCTTTGCTAGAAAACTTCAAGCTGGGTGTTTAGCAGGTGCTGGGTGCTTAAAGTCTGAGCAGTTCAGGACAGTCACTTATTGACGTGGTGCTACACTACAAGTGCTAACAGACAATGTACCGCAGTACTAAAACTGGGTGATCTAAAGAAGTCCTATACAATTAAAAGAATAACAAGCCAGTGAAAAGCATATGATGGCTAGGCCTATATTTTGTAAATAAATACCTAAACAAGCTGCTGTTTGGAAAACTAAGTTGGAATAGATGCCCAGATACACCTAATATGTGGTTTGGTGCATCACTTTCAAAAAATTCCTCAAAGGGTTTCTTTTTTGTGCTTTTTCTGGTTAACAAGGTTCCTGGCCCCTGCTCTATACACACTAAAACACCTATGAGCGATTGCATTTTCATTTCAGACAATTTCTAGTAATATCTCCCATTTATTGACCCAAATTAAAAGGTCAAATAAAAATAGATCATTCAAGATAGTACAAGGTTACATATCTATGAATTTAAGTTAAATAGTGGTTGCATTTAATGCAGATAAATAAGCACTTTCACCATGTTTTATTATTATTAATAATAATAATTAGTAGTAATGGAATAGTGTTTCTACGTCTGATAAGCTTTTAGGCCGTCAGATCAAACTATGGAGTTTTCAATAAGCTAAGTAGCAAACAGTGATTAGGCTGTCACTCTGCCCCCCTATAAAGTTCAATGGTATTTTGTGCTTATATCGAGGGTTTAGTCCAGAAAAAATGCTACATTGATATTGTTTGTTAGAATGTACTAATTTCATAATTTGTTTCAGCTACATATGATAATAAATTCAGAAAGAGTTTGTTAGCTAGCCAGCCTTGCTAATTAGCTAGCTTAGCCACTTACCTTTGACATGTGTGTGATTTTTGACAAGTTTAATGCATTCCTCACTGTTTATTCTGCAAAATACACCTCTCCTGTTAAAAAAACAGATAAAACAGAGTATCCAAAACCCCACACATGACGTTGCACCATACAATAAAGTTCAGAAAGCTCGTCGTACAATTGCTAAGCTACAAATGGACAATCGTTATTTAGGGGCAGTGTTTAGCGAAGGGCCATTTGCAGGGGATGAACTCTGAGAGCCATTTCTGGTATTGAATCTTTGGTCCCCTTCTGTCTTTGGTGGTGAGTTTCAAAAACAGACACTATGTTCTCCTGTAAATTGTTAGATGCTCTGCGAGACACGTTTCTCCAACAGTACTAAAGAACAATTTATGCAGCAATCTACTGTACATACTTTCATAACCCTGGCATCTTCTTAACCATCTTACGTGTACATAATTGTTTTATCGAGTTTCTTTCTGTTTTTGTTTTGTTTGTTTTGATTTTTTTTTCTGTTAAGGCATAGCTTTAAAGACAAACTTAATTTCTGACAATTTCGATTAAAGGGAAGTATATCAGCTCATTCTGACTCCAGAACTGAACCTCAAGAAAACGAAAAAACCACAGGAACAAAACCATACTATACCTCAAGACACACGAGATACCTGAACCGCAGTGACAGCATGACCTTGGAAGACTGCGCGTGCGCACTGTCGCCGATGCAATATCTCCTCACCGTTTTCAAAGCTACCTCCGATTTCTTCACCCAGCAAACCAGCTCGTGAGACACACGCTGCTATAAACTACTCATTACAAAGCAGGGGGATGGCAGTGAGTGCCAATGTCGTAACAAAAAATAAACAAGAACCTTGTCTGAACGTTTGTAACCAATGTTTGCGTGATGGAACAGCGAAAAAAAAGCTCTGCGAACGATCTGTGAGAGTCGGGCAGGTGACGACTGAAATCCGAGGTGTGTTTGTATTCTGTGTTGAACTCATCAAGCAGCTAAGGGAATAAGTACTGTTTTGATATTGTTTGTTTTCCTTATTTTTAACCTTTTCATTTACCTGACATTTGTAACACTTTTCTTTCTCTGCGACTGGGACATCTGTTTTACGTTTTTAACTTGAATATATGTTTTGTACTGATTTACTCAATGGTTTCTAAGGATCAAGGGCTTATATGACTCTAAATGATATTTTTTTTTTCTTGCTCCGGTTTCTCTTTTTTCCCCCTCTCTCTTTCTTTTTTGTTCTCTGAGTTTTTAGTCTAGATTTATCCTGAGCTATGTACTATTCAGATATGTACCTCAAAAAAAAGAGATAAAAATGGACTAATAATCAATTGACAAATACCTACCTCCAGTCTTGAAAAATGAATGATTTTGCCTGGTCTCTTTCGTATGATTTCAAACGATGTAATGCTGATAAAACACGAGGACTGCACAAGAGTCCGTGCTTTACATAACACTACAGTTTTAATCGCGTTCGTTTTAATTCACCTGGGGGAGAAGACAGACTTCAAAATAGAAAAAAAAGAAAAAAAAGAAAAAAAAACTTGAAACTTTTTTTCAGGTTAAAAAATATATATATGTTCGGGTTTTGTATATTGCATACATGAATATGTTTTTTTTTTATTAGTAGATATTGAGATATACTTGATTAGCGAGTTTTGTGTCTTTTACACAAATGTGATTTTCTGTTCTCATTATATGGTTCAAACAGGTGTATATGTAATGCTTTTTTGTTTTATGAAAAAAAAAATTACACCTTTTTCAGCCTATCACCATGAAAAACCTTTTGAAACGTTTTTAACTGGTATTCTCAACTGGGCCTGAGGTAGAGCCTCAAAGAAAGCTAGTGGAACTGTGGCCATGCCTTTTGGATTGAGAAATTCAGCGGCATGGGACGCCTACCTTTTGGGTGGCAGCTGCAAACCAACATTGAACCTTGCTCAAACACTGTAATGCTACTAAGCAGCTCAGCGATATTCAGATCTGGCCACACTGCAGCAGTGCATTTCATCTGTGGTGGCTGAAAATGTAGCTTATCTGTGTGAGAGCAGGCACTGAAACTCTGGAAACATTGCCATTTGGCAGCTTGAAACTAAAGCTACGTTCACATGTTCTATTTTGAACAGCTTTATGAAACAACTAAGGTGGATGAAGTGGCAAAATACGGTTTAAAAATGTGTCATGTACCTCTGCAGGTTGGTGCACATTCATCAGAAAGTACTTGTACAGTCTCGCGGTCCGGTTGTGATCTTGTAATGAGACTCCATGTCTGGAGATAACTAAACTAAATGGATTTTGCCTCTAACAAGGGTACACCCCCTCTTAAACTGACCCCAGATTCTTGTAATCCATTCTCTGGAGTGCAGTTGAAAACACAAGCAAAACAAGCTACCTAGCAAAACAAGCTAGCTAGCAAAAAACTAACTGAACTTCCTCCCTTGGTACAATATTTTTTTTTTTTGTATAACACGTACTGTGTTCTCCGCACACATTTTTGTTTTTGGGGTGACTTTTGAGCCATTACGTTATATCTATGAGATAACAAGAGGCTTATTGTCCTGCTTTGACCCCCGCCGTCACAAAGTTTTAGATTTTGGTTTAGCAACTTCATGTTTAGTCTGTTCTCAACCTAATAAGTCTACGTTCTCATTGCATTCGACTGAAGCTCAAAGTTCCCGCCTCTGGGTAGGAAAAACAAAAGAAAATGCCCTCTCAACTGGGAATTTCAACTCGGAAAGTTGGGATGCTGCTCTTATCTCTGAGCTTAGCATACGATGTCAAATCAACATGGCTGCTCGCACAGTCAACAGTAATGAAGAACCATGTCTTCACTTTTAAATGAGATTTGCTTTAGATCGGTCAATGTTGGTTCAACTATAACACTGACCTTAAAATTCACTGTTTTGAGAAGTAACGTATCACTCATATTACTAAAGTTAGCTGGCTAGCTTCTTGCTAACAATACTTGCTTTCATGAAGGTGTTTTTCTCAGTTTGTTCAAACTGATGCAGGTCCAAACTCTCGCTTTCCACTTCTGAGCCAAGTCGAATGCAGCTTTAGCCCAAATTTTCTCACTATTGTCTCCTGAAGTTCTTGTTATGAGATCATGTCCAGCTCTGCAAGACTACTCCTTGTAATAACTGTAATTTTTTGTCAATGCAACAGCTAAAGTTTATGTGAACGTAGCTTAATGCAGGATCTGCACTGTATTGGTAGAAGCTGGTCTTTATCTCTAAATCTGTCTTGTTGTGATGGATGAAGATGGTTCTAGATCAGAGGAAAAAGCCAGCTTCTATCTGCAGTATCATCTACTGCTCAACTAATCCTAAAGCAGGGAGCATACTTCTTGCAGAATCGATGTTCAGCTGAGCAAAATAGTGTAATTAGGGAAATAGCCTGAAACAACACCATTCAACAGAGCAGAAACATCACTGACAGTATATTAACACCATAGGTTACACTACATACGGTTCAAATGTACCGTGCACTGAAATATGGCAAATGCAGCTTTGTTGTTTGCATTTGCAGAATTTTTGCTGCATGTTAGGCAGTTTACAGTTTAGGTTGTTTTAACGTTACTTTGCTCTGACATCTGTTTGCGAGAAGTATGCTCGCTCCTTTAAGGAAAAAAAGATGAGGGCAATTCACTGTGATGCACATATCTGACATTGTATATTGCTGAGGTAATGTCAAAACTTTTCTTGAGTACTTTCTTGATTTCATTTGTTGGTTTGAATGTGTATCCACGGGAGCCACTGTTCATGTGCTTTCAACTGTGGGTGTCTTAATGAAGTTGACTTTGTATCTTCATGATCATGATAACATGTTCTAGTACAATCGAATACACATTACTACCTCCAAGAGGGCCTCTTTTTACCTCATTATTCAAACTTAATATCTGCTTAAATTCAGGTGGCTGAGTCCAGGGAGAACAACTAGATATAAATGAATATCAGTGTTGAACTAACTCTTACACTCTTATATAATGCGTTTTTGTCCAAGCTGCCAAGCTGGGCTCAAATGAATGCTAGATTCAATACTGTTTCTATAGATATACATGTATCAAATACCTATATCTATAGTTTATTTTTGTGCATATATATATACATATATATATGTATAGTTTATTTTTGTGGGGGATACATTTTATAAGACTGTTCCTCTCTGCCTCTCAGTCACAGTCAGACTGGACATTTGACTCGTTTTAAAGCATTTTCTTCTCATTATGCAATGTTATGTAGTTTCATTAGCTGTGGGCTGTGGGCAGGGGAGGTTGAAAAGAGGCACTTCACAGTTGCTTTCTCTTCCTCCTCTGCCTCATATATAACTTCAAATGTTTTCTAACATTTATGGCTTTCTCTGTTTCACCTAGTATTGCTGTCTATGATTACACTTCAAATTGCTTGCTTGTTAAAAATTTTAATAAAAAGTTCTCTTTATAGATATTCACCGCCTTATTCAGCACAATAAAAATGGGTGCTTGTGAATACTGTTGTCTGTGAATTTTTATTTTTATTTGTGAAGAAATCCTTTCATAGAAACCTAGAGATATTTTTTCATTCTCCAGTACAACATATATATTTACTTGTTGAAAGGCCATTTACAATATTAATATTTTTGGGGGTTTTGGGGAAAAAATGATTTGAAAATATTTTTCTGTACGCATCAACTTCTCTATTTACAATTGTTAGATTTGTTAGAAAATTAGATAAACTGATATTGAGAAAACAGCCCCCCCAAAAACGATAAATATAGTTTTGTATTGCTCAGTCAACAAAGAAAAAATAGACAAAAATCTCAGACTATGTAAAATTTTAAAAAAATAACAGATTTCAGTGTATGGTAGTAAGTATGCTTGTTTGGTGTATTTACTACATCTACAACACAAAGTATTTATAAAGGGAAAAAGGGAAATATTTTTTAACCACCAGTTTGAACCACTTCAATAGAACCTGTACATATACAGTGTATAATATATACTGAAACATGCAGTTTAACATACAAATTTAAAATGTGCCATTTGTGCACATTTGTATTGTACAAAAATGTGTATTGTTTCCTAATATTAAAATCAGCAGGCAGTAATTGTGCATTAAAATGTGCAGAAGTGTGCTCTCTGTAGAAAATCAACAAAACTTAGAAAATCAACAAAACATATAATCTGACTGGGGTGCCCAAAGTTTTGCATACAGCTGTATATATAGACACAGTATGCATAACCTAAATACAAGTAATATAAGTAATGGTTAATGTGATTCATATTTTTGAGGGGAAATATGCATGCAGCAAGCACCTGCTTTTCTGTTGAAAAATCTCAGACAGGTATGCTTAAGTCTACTTAACTCTCAAAATTAGAATTCAGTGTTGTAAAGTATGGGTTAAACATGTGGGATTAAAAGCTAGAAGTAGAAAAAAGAAGTAAAAAAATCTTCAAAAATTGTAAATAATCAAAAAAAAACAAAAAAAAACCACTACAAATACTGAAAAAGACATAGTATAGTAAAGTTGTTTTCCACTTCTGCTTTTAGGCAGGCATTTGCATAAGGGACCAAAGGTTGTGTCTTATCAGCTCTATTCTAAACCCCAAAACACTTGTAAGCATGGTTGTGGCCGTATTGTTCAGCTGCCATTTGTTTAATCTTGGTTTCAGTGATTTATGAGCATGATCTGATTGGTCAAATGAGAGACAGTAAACTCCACCTCTTCAGGGTTCTGTGATTATTTTATTGGCTGGACAAAAAAGACTGACGTGTATTTGAAAAAAGACCTTGCTGATCTGAAATGGAAGGTGACTTCCTATTTTCTGAAAGTCAAGGCTACCTTTCATGAAGTCATTAAAGGGCAGACCACAGGGACTCCATGTCCAGAAGAGAGAGGACCCCCCAACCCCTAGCCTCCCACCTGCCAACAAGAGAAGGTACAGGGTCTGATGTGATTACTTGTTCCTGCACTTTTCCCCCTTCTGCTGTCCTGCCACTTCCCCCCATTTCAGAAACATCTCTACCTCCCTCTATCTGGGGGCCCACCCCTGAGTTGCTGACCTTTGCTCTGCTGCGGGCCCTCCGAATGGGAGGGCGGCCCCACTTCAAAGTCCTGCCATTCCCTACACAATGACAAGATCTGTCACTCATTCAAACCCCCACTACCCCTCCAACTTCCAACCAGTACGCACGCAGCCCACCCCCTTCTGGAGTTCGCCGTTAGTGGCAGCACACATCGTACAGCTACTCAGTTATTCCTCCCGACTGACCCGGGGTTGAGGGGGTTGGTAAGCGAAAAGAGGGAAGAGTGGTACAGGAAGGGAGGAGAGGAGGAGGAGGTGGGAACAAACTTGCTGTCTGGACGGAGAGGGAGTTCACCACTATAGCATGACCACATTTTTAGGTGGTCTCTTTCCACCTCTTCCTCTTTTCCATGAAAAGAGGCACCATCTCTGTGCAATAAAGGAGAGACTGGAACCACTTTCCTCTTCACATTCAGCTAAACACATCAGAGAACCGAAAGATAAATTCAGAGTTTTTGCATGCAACATACTACATATTACACTCATAAGAACCAAAGTCAAGGTTCCTAAATGTTTCCTAGCTTGGACATACAGTTGATATAGAACCTTCACTTCTTATGTGGTTTTTCACTCTTTAAAGCTTCTTCACACTCCACACCTCATTTACAAACATTGGGCCACATTCACAAACTATTCTTAAGAACAAATTTCTTCTTTAAACCCACTTACACAGTTTTCACAAAGATTCTGACATTCACCAATGGGATTTTTTTTTTGTGTGATTTGTTCTTAGGTAAGAACAGAATCTACACACAAAGAGCACAAAGGTGCAAACAATTTGCAGTGTAAGAACACGTCACAAATCTTACGTAGAGTTTTTCTTAGGAATTTTCTCAAGAACAAATTTAAGAAAAAACTATATTGGTGAATGAGGCCCATTGCTTTTTAAGAACGCTCCATTAAAGGCAGGGAAATAAAAGTGGTTCCTCTATAGCATCGCTCAAAAGAACCCGAAGAACCTTTTGATACTTTTATTTCAAAATTGCATGTTGTTTAGAGCACTATATCTATGCCTGGTTCAGACAAAATGTCACTAAAACTATGTATCCCATCAGGCCACTGTATTATAGCACCACTGGTGGTAAAAAGAAATTGTTTTCTGAACAAAAATGATTTTCTGTGCCAAAGTCAAACATTTTGTTCCTTCATGTTCTTTCCTCAATCCTAACCTACTTAGTAATTTTGGTAAACATTGCAACAACTTAATATAAGACGTACATACTCAAATTTCATATAAACACATTTACCCTTTTACCCATCCTTACACACTTGATTCAGCTCATCAGGTAATTATCAAACCCTTTATAAACTTGAACAACTGTTTTTGGCCATAGAATATGGTCAAACATCGACACTTGTTCCAACAACTAAGGAATAAGGAATAATGTCATTGTTTGTTAGTGCATTATTTGTGGCTGATTGTGTCTGGGGTTGTGGTTGTTTTGTGTTGGGGGTTGGTCCACGTGAAGGTTGGTGGCTAGTGGTGACCTCCCCTCTGAGTTCAGTGCTTTGTATGTGCCTTTGTGCCTTGGTGTTTAATGAAGAGCACTTCTTGTGGTGGAAATCATGGCCCCCCCATGTCTCTGTGCCGATGCCGCAATACAATATAACACAATAAGTAGTAATATTACATGTCAATGTGGTTGTTAAACCCTTTCCAAGTATCTCCTCAAGGAAGTTCAATATTAATTGTAATCATCATTCAGTACTTGGTTTGGATAATCAGTGCTTCATGTTAAATCCGGAGTCATGGAAATTAACAAATTTATGTGGTAGCTGGGAGGGTGCACAAGAAATCTGGAGCCAAACCAGCTCATAAGATATCAACTACTTTTGGTACTTTTAACTATATTCATGTTTATTTGCATCAAAACCACATATTGCCAAGATAAATAGTTTTAAACAGTAGATGTAGATGTATGTAGATATATTTACACCCAATCCATTGATCAATGCAAAATGCAACCCTAGAGAACCAAAGTGTTCAAGTTTATGAAGAAATGAAATAAATCCATTCCGGGTTTTTCATCATGGGGTTCGGGTTGATTGTGCTGTGTATGCTCAGAGCTCTTCTAGCTGGCTCTTGAATTTCATCAAAAGGACTCACATCACAGCATGCCCTGACCTTCATCTTCAGCTTTGTCAAACGTGTAAAGCATGCTGATTTCAAGCATTCTAATTTTGCTATAAACCTGCAGAGATAGCTGAATGAAATCCTATGTGAAATGTCTTTGTGCATTGAGTCCGTGCTCCACACTATGGCTGATTATCTGATTAAACATTAAGCTTAGCAGTTAGTTAAACATTTACAGAAGCACTCGCAACCCATTTCTTCTAAACACGCCATTGTTTGTAGAATTCTGACAGGAAAGAAAAAAGTAAGATGTTGATGGAAAATATATGTCTGTGCTGAGAGGATATGCAGTCTCCCTCTTTCTCTGAGGTGAGCTGCACATGCACTTAATTGGCCGTTTCCTGTATCTTCCACTCTAAAGGATGTCCGTCCTCTCCGCTGAGCAAATAAAACACACTTCCTGCTCTGTGTGTCTGTGTGCAGCTGCTGCTGAGTGCTGGCTGGGGCTCAGCATTCATGCACTGTGCTGCTGCAGCGCATGTGCCACCATAGGCACCACCGCCACCCACAAGAGTGAAACAGTGGAACACGGAGTCCTCTTTGTTAGTTATCAGCACTTTTAACAGATTAGCCCCCTCCACAGCTTTAAAGTGTAACATACAAATGAAAAATATTTGATGTATTCATGCTCCGCCCACAAATGCATTCTGTTGCGGGGTAAGAGGATGAGCTAAATGGAATGCCAGCAAAAAAGCCATTCAAAAAATGAGAAATTGTACCGATCTTTGTTTTGAGTTGCTACACCACATTGAGTTTCCAATTTAAATGCTACACTACCAAGCTCCGCTGTATTTTTATAGCTAGTCAAAAACTGACTGGTTGGAAATGGCAATGACAAATCTGACATCATAGTAATGTTACATGACAAAACAAAAACACATCCAATGCATCAATTTTACCTTTTACAGTTCACATACAAAAAAAATATCATTTGCAACTAGAAGGGAAAAGTTTGTCAACAAACTTTGAGTTGGCATTATAAGGCTATTACTATGGAATCCCAGGTATTTGCGTGGCTGTTTATATGGTATCCAGGGAGTCGTTAAGGTGTTGCTTGGCCATTGCTATGGTTTGCCAGGTGGTTGCTAAGGTGTTTGTTTGGCCATTGTCATGGTACCCTAAGTAGTTGCTATGGTGTTGCTTGGCCAGTGCCATGATATCCCAGGTGGTTGCTAAAGTGTTGCTTGGCCATTGCCAATGTATCCCAGGTGGTTGCTAAAGTGTTGCTTGGCTGTTGCTATGGTATCCTAGGTAGTTGCTAAGATGTTTGCTTGGCCATTGTCATGATA